GTATGGGCTCAACTCCAGATTCAAGCTTCTGAAATCCTGAAGCGCTCTCTCACACACAAATCCCCAGTATTACAGTTTACTTATAATGTTTACAGTGTATTTATATGTTTAAATAAAGTAATTTTCCAAATTAAATTAGACTAGAAATAAAAGATAATTTTAAATCAGTTTAAATATAATAAGATGAATATACATTTTTTAAAATAAAAATGTGGTGGATCTATGAAGGAAGCTTTCGATCTGAAGACCCCTTCCAAAAAAAACTAAAGGTAAAATATAATCATGTTTTATGGAAAAAAATATTAAACAATTATCTCTTAAATTATTATTGTTGGTGTAATTACATTTAATAGGGCTTTAAGAATCCAAGAGCACTTTCGGGTTCTAAATCGGGCGTCCTTAGAATAATGATAATATATCGTTTATAATTAATGGTTATATCTTGTGTTCTTAAGAGCTATGTATGTATATTTTTAATCAAAATAAATAAATAATTGTTCTTTAAATAAAAATAGAATTTTACAAAAAAATAATTTTTTAATACACCCATTTGTTTTCCTTTACCCTGCCTTGTCTAACATCCCCAGGGCATTTAAGAAAAATCAATTCTTGACCTTATTAAATGTACTTCAATATAACAACGGAGGAGACTAAACGCGTTTTACTGCAGCTGGAAACTGAGTCTGCTTCATTTCTAGATTGCAAAAATAGACATGAGGTTCACCGCAATTCTAACACCTAGATCTGGTTAAGAAACGTTATTTCAGTTCTGTTGCGTTTTGTTTCCTATCCGAATATAAGTATTTTTATGTGGGACAGATCTAATGTTTTTAATCACGTAAGCACCACAAGCTTTCTCATACCTTGTTGATTGGTTTATTGTTTTTAAAGTATTATTGTTCGTGTAATTACAATTAATAGGGCTTTAAGAATCACTCAAACGCCATTTCATATAGGTAGTTAGTTTCTTTTTTTTTTTCCAAAGTAATTATCGTTATATGGTGATATCGATATAGATGGTAATATGTTTGAACAGGTAGAGAAATTTAGGTATCTAGGTTCTACGATATCTAGAAAAAACGAAATTGAAGAAGAGGTTAAGGTTAGACTGAAGGCGGGAAATGCTTGTTATTTTTCTGTGACAAAACTACTTAGTTCGCGCCTCTTGTCCCGGAACTTAAAAATTAGAATCTATAAAACAATTATCTTGCCTACAGTTCTTTATGGATGCGAAACTTGGCCGCTTACATTAAGGGATGAGCAGCGTCTTAAGGTTTTTGAAAATAAAGTATTGCGTAGAATATTCGGACCGAAGAAGGATGAGTTAACCGGAGAGTTCAGACGGTTACACAACGCCTAATTGCGTGAGCTGTATCCGAGTAATATAATTGAGGTAATTTCATCGCGGCGAATCAAATGGGCTTGTAAAGTTGTTGGGCTTAGTAACGAGAGAATCCCTAAAAGGTTAATATTTGCTGTGCCGAATGGTAAGCGTCCGAGGGGTAGACCGAAGCGAAGGTGGGAAGATTGCATTAAAGCCGTTCTGAAGGGACTGGGTTTGGACGGCGAACGGTGGAGGGAGGTGTGTAACAAGCGATTGGTGGTGTCGGCATCGAACCTTCGGGTTCGCTAAGCCTTCTTCTTCTTCTTATTATTATTATTATTATAATTATCGTTATATATACACACAGGGTGGTTCAGGGTTAAGTGGCCAAACTGCAAAAATGGTATGTCCGCAAACGCTTTTTTTAGGAGATATTCACACGTAAAGATTTTATTTGTTCTAACTACTTTATTAATTAAATGTAAACAACATTCATATTAAATGTTGTTCAAAGTGAAGGTATGTCCGCAAACGCTTTGTTTAGGAGATGGATTAGATAGAATACTATAGAATATGGCTTTTTTATCCCTAACTGTATAAAAACTATTCGCAACATAAGGATTAATACTATTTGGAATTAGCATTGGGAACTCTCGATAACATTTATCAGTTTGTAAGAGGCTTTCGCAGAGAACTCATCATTATGCCTTCCATTTATACTGATTTGAATATGCCGATATGGTGTTTGTATACGGCTTTTGCAATGGTAATGCTAATGCAGCCCGTCTTGAATATGCCAGGCGATTTCCGAATAGAAGATTACCAAACAAGTCTATCTTTAGCTCCACGTTTCAACGTCTTTGAGAAACTGTTACATTTGCTATAATACCACGTGCTGATGGTATTTTTGCCCCTTCACTTTGTCAACAACAGCCCAAATCACTTTGAACAATATTTAATATGAATTTAATGCTTACGTTTAATTAATAAAGTAGTTGGAACAAATAAATAATTTTCATTTACTTAATATAACGTAAATAATTCATATCAAGGAAAATCTGTAGGTGTGAATATCTCCTAAACGAAACGACTCCAATCGCTACTTAGCATTGACGCAGAAGCAATTGATTGGTCTCTTTACTGGCTCGGCCGCCATCGTGGCTCTTGTACTCGTGCCGTCGTTTACACGGTTGGACGTTCTGATTTTTCAACGTTCTTTGTACCGTTTCACACTATCATATGGGCTTTAACGGGGATCATTGGATTGCTCTTTCCACCTGTTTACGAATTTTGTAATGTAGTCAATCTCGTTTTAGTTTGGGTTATTCATATTAAAGACTATATACATGTGTCAACATAAGACATAATTAAAAATTATATAAACGTACAAATGATAATGAAGCTTTAATAATTGTACAATTTCCAACAATAGATTTATATTTAAATCATTTTAATGTTAAACAATGGGTTCAATAAATTTAATATATTGATTAATAAATAAATAAAATATCTAAAATCGTGACTATATATATACTGCTAAGGGGTGTGGTGTCATTAGTTATTAATCAATTATATAGTCAAAAAGGTTCTTAAACTTCTTCTTCCTCAGTATCAATATTGACATGTAGGTATTTTACATTCACATATCTATATATGGAATATATAGTAAGGGAAAGTATTGTGATCGTGAACATTTTCGAATCTCATTTTTCTACGAAATATATGTTTTGAGGTCCTCTGAGACGAAATATATGTTTTGAGGTCCTCTGAGTCGAAATTAGCAAGTCCCGCGAAATGGTCTGTGTGTGTGACCAGCCTAGCTCAAAAATAAAAAGTCGTACGAAACTTTAATTACGTATTTGGATTAATGTTCTTATTTTTCGTATTTTTGACATTGAATTTTAGGTAATTTGCTGGTTCTGGGGAGGATTAGCTGTAAATACTTCTATAAAGATGGTTATAAATTCAGGGCGCGTTCAATAACTACAGAATGCATGTTGTTTGATGCTCTTTCAAAAATAATGCTTCTATTGATAATTAACGTTTTCGTGTCTGAAAAAATCGTTGAAATATTCCTCAACAAAATGAGAAACTCCTAATTTTTAAACTTGTAAGACCCAATTAAAATCAAGGTTTGGTTTCCTGGTAACCAAAGCCACCAGTCTCTGCAGACACTTCCGAGGCAACCGATGTTCTGGTAGTGCTGTCATTGTTTACAAATTATGTAGTAACTAATATCTGAAGTAAAATAAAATCAATAATTTTGTTCGCATTATTTATTAATGTATTTTTAATTTATCAAGAACCTTAAGTTGTTTTCACACAGCGAAGGAAGCTTTAAACTTATTAACTGAGTTATTATTTATTTTTTCTTTCTAAAATGTAGTAGAGAACATGCTAGAATCTGGGGGCTTAATGGCCATTAAATTGATAATTAAAAAATATAGAAATTAGTAATGAAATTAAAAATCATTTAATGAATACATTGCATAAAATAGTAGGCTTTTTATTCAATATAAAGTGAAGAAGAAATCTAAGTTAATAAGCTTAAAGCTTCCTTCGGTTTGTGAAAACAGTTTTAGGTTCTTGATTTTTTTTTTTTTTTTTATTGAGTATTATAACAATCTGTCTGAGGTTCTTGATAAATTAAAAAACATCAATTAATAATGCGGACAACAATTCTAAAAAATTTATTTCACTTTATATGTTTGTTAATACGTTTGCTTCATTCATTTATTTAAAGAAATTTCATTCTAGGTTCTGTCCTCAATTGTACAAAAAGGATCAGATGAAAACTGTACACTCCATGATCTTAATAGCCTAAATCATTCATTATAACTTAATTATTTAAATTTGAAATAGAAATCTAATTATATTTATTACATTTAAAATATATAATTACATTTAGTTATAACTATCAGCAAAGCTGCAATTTTGGTACACGTATATCTTAACTGAAGGCATTATATAAAATTTGAAATGTATCTAATTTTTACTATTCATATTCATACGATTTTTTTTATATATTCGAATAATTCTTTAAAATATCATTAATTTTGAAATAATGTAAAATTACGATTGCACTCTAAACATTACGGTTTGAAAAGTTGTTTGAATTCGTCATTTTAAGTTGTAGTTATTTACGTTAATTCAAGTTTTAGATTTTTTTTTTTTTTTTTTTTTTTTAATTCCCCACTGTTTAATGTAGACGTTTTATACAGACAGTTAAATCAATCAATGTTCTTCAACTGTATTTAATACAAATTTTAGTAGCAATTGAAATTCTTTCATCTTAATATTTTGAGTCTTGTTCTCCACCTCGCACACATTGCATTGTGATGTGCGTAAAAATTATGGTTTTGACCGAATTCGAAGATTTAGCGTAACATATAAATATTTATGGCTAACTTACGTTTTTTTTTTCATCCTTTCTAACATACCTTCCAGTTATACAAAAGCACACTCTATGGACATTTTGTGCCAAGTGACTTGATTTTTGACTTCTTATAAGAGTCCAATTTTGTATGTTGTATGTATTTATGTTTATTTTGTATGTTAGTATTTGTGATTTAAATTTTGAACTAAACTTTGTTAATTCATATGCTTTATTATTAGAAGCCTATTTTACAATTATTATTTTATTTTAATTCATAGTTGTATTTACTTTATTTTTCAGATGAGAGAGATGCTATTCAGAAGAAGACATTTACGAAATGGGTTAACAAGCATTTGAAAAAGGTAAAATAAAAAAAAAAGAGATAGAAGGATAAGTTTGCTTTATCTTAAAAAGGAGTATGACTTTGTTTTATGTACGATGTTAGTTTTCTGTCATGTTAATGGTGTGGAACTGGTAAATCAAATAATAATAATTTTTGTTTGGGTAAAATTTGTCTCGTTAAAAAATATTTGAAATCTTAAATTGAAGTTAAAGTTATTGTGGCTGATATTCCATCATGATAATTTACGAATAAAAACTATTGAAATAATCGGGAGGAGGAGATGGAAACTAAATTAATCATACAAATTGAAATAGATATGTTTTATTCTATTCTATTTTTAGTTGCCTCTCACCATAATTAGTTAAACTGACTACTTTATGTCGTAAATGGACCTTACTGAATGTTGAGATGCTATTTTAATGGACTCATGATGCCGGTTGTGGAAAATTTAAAAGGGTGTTCAGAATGTTGATAGCTGCGCTTGATAAGTCATAATTCTTGCAATCTCGATGGACATAATGTGGAGCCTTGTACTGTCACATGTGGCTCTAATTTACGACTCGTCATGGAATTAATTTAAGACAACCGTTTTGCCCCACTATTTCACTTCAGGCTATTAGCATCTTAATTTATTAGGATTTTTAGTTGTGTAGCCACTGTCTATAAAATATACATATTCCTATACAATTTATGACTGATAAAAGTAGTGGTCTAAAACAGGCTAGAAGCTTGTTAAATGTCTTAAACAATTATTTTAAAAAATCGGCTCAAATGGTGTGTTTCAAATTAATCGATTAGTATATACCGGTGATTTTCATATGTAAATTGGAATGTGGTATCTTTATTTTAAAATAAATTCCCTGGAAAACTTAGAAGAATTGAAAAACAAACTCAGATTTAGTTCATTTAACAGAAAATAATTATAAATTTTTTTGTGTTTTTCATACATAAAATATGTTGAATTAAAAATTGTTTTATTTTATTTTTATAATTATTTTAACGCGTTCTTACTGCTAGCAATAATCTTCGTCCATCATTTTTTGCCAAACATGTTTATGCTCACAAAACGATAAGAGGGTTTTGCCCTCTTCAACAAGCTTCCTAAAGTTTTTGCCGAGTCTCCTACCCGCTAAATAAGAGGGTGTGACCAAATTGCCTGTTGATTCATAACTAAAGTCGAAATTGAATTTTCGCCAAAAATTTTCATGGTCACTAAACGATTAGAGGGATTCGGCCTCATCTTCAAACTCCTTTAAAGTTTTTTGCCAAGAGTCTCGTACATGCTAAATAAGAGGGTCTGGCGAAGTTGTGGATGCTTAACTAAAGCCAAAATTGATTTTTTTGCCAAAAATAGTTGTTTAATACGTTAAGAGTCTGCCAACATCCCATTAAAACTTTTTAAAAGTCTATATTAATTAGTCATTTAATTTACAAAGATTCAACTGACTGATATTGTTAAGCTGTGCTCAAAAGTCCACTCTATTGTAACTTTCGTCTAATCAATGAATCCAAAACATCCACTGCAGCATTTCAATCTCTCTCTAGTGAAAGGCATATTTTAAGTTTTATTTCTTTGCCTTTAAGGTGAAGTTCTAATTAAATCAAGTGTTAAATTTTAAAAGAAGGTGTAAGTCATGGGAAGGATGGAGGGGGGGGGGATGTGTAGTTCAACACTCACACGTAATATGAGTGATGTTTATTGGATAGTCTACGTTTTGAACTACGGGCTAGGTTTCATCAGGTCAATAATTAAAATAAGGGGACTGTACCCCCTACCTTAACTGTACTGTTGGTCGGGCATTAGAGCTACACTATTGTGCATTGTTTAATAATAGAGATGTGAGGATATGTATCATTATATAGGTGTTTGTTCTGGGTTCTTAGAATTCAGTGAAAGATGGCTTGGCAAGGTAGTATTATCTAAAGAGGAATGCATTAATTACATGTATGGTCCAAAGACTGGCAAACGCCGTACAATTATTATGTAAGGGCTCGGAGTTGTAGATACCTCCTTGTTTCAGAGTATAACATAGTGAAAGTAAATATAAATCAATAATTAATAATTGGTTGAATAAACAAAAAAAAAGATTGTTCTGCATTATTTTTTTGTTTTTAACATTAATACATTTTGTATATGAGCACTAACTACTCTTCTAAAGCCTACCGACCATGCATAGGGTTGTATAAAGTATATATTGTTAATTTGTTCATTTCATTTTCAAAAAAATAAATACATTATTATTACAATTCAGACTGTTAATATTTAAAGAAAGGTTTTAAATTAACTCTACGAATCCTCATTCTCCTTAATTACTGAGCTAGCAGAAGTCGATACCTACTTAGTCTAAAGCTTTATTAATGCCTAAAATAGTGTTTTATTTTTATCATTGTTTCTATATTTATAGAGTTCGGTTGGGTCTTAGTTGTCGGCGTCTACTCCTTCAAGTTATAAATAAACCCCAATGAAGGGTCCTTGACCCATGTAGCGGAACCTGACCAAGCAGGAGGACTTTGTCAAGGTTCTTGGGCTTGGGGGTGGAAATTGATATCGGTTATGAAATTAGTTTTTGTAACATCAACGAGCCGACGAGCTGTAATATCAGCCCTCGAAGCTATTGCTATATTTGCGCATTTAGTTAAAAAAACGAAACATTTCCTTAGCAGTTTTGTAAACTATAATAAGTCAGCTAGAATGGCAACATGAGTTACATTTCGTTTAGTTCTTCATTAGTTAAAAATTAGCCACTCTAATTTTGAGTAACAACCAAAAGTAATAAAAAAATTTTGTTTAATGTTTTTAAGCATTGCAGGATATTATAAGGGTTCTAAATACAATGATTATACAAAGCATACGTATTTCATTAGTTTCATTGATGGCTCGTAGTCTATATTTATATGTATCTAATTTCCATTAGGTAATTTAAAGAAAGTCAGTTGAGCAATGTTTTACTGACGCTGTGCTCCCTTTCCCACATAATCCATATTAGTCCCTGGTACAGACCCCATTTTATCATATTATTAACACCTTCCTAAATAGCTTCATCTCATCGTATCTTACAAATATATTATTTACGAAAACTCTTGAAATTTGGGTGTTTTCAATCTGGAGATCGGCAAACTTAGTCCATTTAATTAGGTATTTAAAACTCGTAAATGCCCATTTGCTTTCCAATTGGATCGTAATATAATATGATAACCAGATCGAGAAAAATAGTGGCATACAAAAATATTGGGTGGTTTGGCTTAACCTACACCCTCAAAATGTCAACGAGGTTATATAGGCCAAGCGGCCCAATATTTTTGTAGACAACCTTTTTTATTGACTTTGTGATCAAATTATCTTACGATCCAAGTAGAAAGCAAGTGGGTATTTACGAGTTTTAGTACCTAATTAGATAGACAAAGTTTTTCGATCTCCAGATTGAATACGCCCCAATTCCGAGAATTTTTGCAAATAAATTAGTTGTAGGTTCAGAAGAAGATAAAGCTCTCAACGAAGTTTCAGGCGTATATTAATAATTTGAAAAATTGGAGTCTGTAGCATGGACTATATTATAGTGATCTGTAATATTTAAATTAAATTATTTTCATTATAACTTGTAATTTATGTTCTAAGAAGGGCTGCCCGAAATCTGTTTGATCGAAATTAGTCCATCACTTCATTGTTCCGCCTCAAAATCCATATTAATATTGGGAGGGAGGAGGGGTGATACCTGCTGTGTAATTAATAATCAGACATGACAAACAGAAATAAAATATAAGAATTGAAGTTAATTTTAGAAAAAATAAAAAAATAAATGCTAAAAGCTGGAAAATTAAAATTACAAATTCAGTTTCATGTGTTGTATGGCCACTATTAAGTGACTCACGCTTTAATTGCGATTGACACATTTGTTAAAGGGTGTCAAAAAGGTATTGATTACGAATAACGACTTGAGTCCAGTTACTTCAATTACTCCAGAGAGGAATAATTGAAACTAAAGAAAAAGCTGTCGCACAATGACACTGATTTAAATTTTGTATAAACGATAGCATTAGCCTTTCAAGAGGGGGTTAGGTGGAACAGCTGTTCTCCTCTTCCAACGTGGACAAAAAAATTATAATAAATACAAGCAACGAAATCCTGAATAATTAACAGCCATTGGTTGTTTCCTTGGTATATCAACATTCTGACGTTACGGTATTACCTCTCCTTCAGGCTACTCATTTGATCAACAGAGTGCTCTTGGAAATCAAAAGGTTAGGGTAAGAAGTCAAGAAGAGTAATTAAATGTATCAACTTTTTGTATTTTGAACTCTTTGATAGCATTGAAAAGTTTGTATCAAATTATCTTTCTAGAGGCAGTATAGGACCTCAATGGACCTCTTGGGCCGACGAAAAAAATAAATAAATATTTTTCTAGTGGATTTTAGTAATTAAAATAAATGGAAGTCGAAGGATGAACTTTAGGAACTGAAGGGTTGAAATTTCTATGAAGAATTTATTTCCTCCCAAGAGATTTGGATTTTTGAATTCCTATAGGTGAAAGTATAAATAAAAAGAAATTATTGTAGGAAATTTTTCGACCGTTCTACATAGTCAGGTGATAGATAGGTAGGACGCATTCAGTTTTTAAGATTTTTATTTTGCCAATTTTTCAACCCAGGCTTATCAGGTCATCAGGGCATGTTACCAGCACTGAAGGTGATCAAGTACTACCAAGCACTGTTCACAAGTTTGGGTTAAAACTTTGGCTTAAAGACATGTCTGCGTCCTGTCTATCCATCACCCATGATAAATAAAAAGTATTTCTGGGACGAAATATTTTATTACTTTATCTGGTCAAACTATGTTATTTATGTGCTCGTATAAAGGATAAAATATCTAAGAAAAACAAAACTGATTGCCATTGAAAAGAAAAGTAGTTTAGGAAGTGGAAAGTTATGCGATTAAAAATCAGGTGGATAGTACAAAATATGAATTATTTCTTGTCAGATGTAAAAGTATAAAATGTAACTAGAAAGGCTACAGAAAGAGGT